CTTTATATCTTATACTCTCCACATGAGAGGTGCGTTAATATAATGCCATCCGGAATGCTTCAATAATTATTTCTTTTATCTGAATAAGATCGTAAGACTTGTGTGTCCTCTTTCAAGCACGTCTTTTCGACCTATGCAACACGTTGAATATCTTGGTTGATTATATATATAAAGGGTGGGAAGATCCTTGAAGGAGTCTGCCCCAAAATAACATTTCGTCTTAGCCCCCGTGTCCCGAAATTGTATGTAAACAGAAGTAAGACCGTAAATCTCCATCCATTTGATTCTATATAGAATAGAAGAGGATCAATGCAATGTTAGAAGTTTTTTACATAGGATGCTTTGATACAGTTATTGTAGCCTGGTAGATTGAAGTCAAGCAATGTTGTAGAAGATGTTTCCATTATAGATCAAATATGAGTTGACTCGCAAGAAGGAACAATACTCCTTCGAAGTGTTGCTCCTGTTCAGGTTCAGTAAAATGGCAAAATTTTAAAAATGATTTGACAATATATATTAAAAATGATCATCTTCTAAAGGGAAGTGAATACAGATCTTCAGATCTGTAGCAAGTCGATGATGCTCAATACAGAGGAATTATGTTCTTTATCACCAGCTTGCCCTCACATGGTGTACCACTAGGTGTGCCCAGACCAGATTCAGCTAAAATATGTTGGAACCAGCGACTGAAACAGTATATGGGCTGAGCTAGACAATATTCCCCCTCGGATTGGAAACCTTTTGATATGGCATCCAGAGGAATCTACCATTTGGAATCTCTTTTGGGTTCTTCCTGGTAAGGACTGAGTTGGACTCCGCCCCGCCCGAACCTACTGCTACTTTAGCAGCACCAACTGGCTGACCAACTAGGCTGCACCTGCCTCGAACTCCTTGCACCTCGGCTAAATTTGGATCCACTTACACTAAAACCTCATCCCTTCGAACAAGCTAGCCACCCACCCGGTACATTATGTACCAGTTCCGTACAAAAGTTAAATTAGGAACTTTGATCTTGACTTTGACTGATCTCAAACCGATTTATGGTGCGAAAAGATTGCTGTTGAACTCTTCTTAGAAATAGACGAGCTTAATATTAGCTTTGATAGGAGATAGTTAATTCTTCAAAGACCAACGTTATTGAAATGTGATTCTTGGGAGAGCGATTGCATTCGCCAAATAAAAAAAATATATAATGTTAGGAAGGAGAAGGTTCCTTAAAATGTTTGTTATGGGTTTCATGTGACTTGGTTCCGGGGAAAATCAGTGTGAACCTTTTGAAGACCTTGACTATCCATGCTCATCAATGGTAGCAAATTATGGGACCAATTCTAAAGCTTCCAAATATAAAGGTGAAGAGATATTAATTACTAATTGTAGTAGAATTAGAGCATTCCAATTGTAGATGTTTGGGAGGTATTGCAACTCAGAAAATCACACTAGCAACAAAACCATAAGTTTCTTTCAGATATCATATAACCTATACTTGATAGATTGTATCCAATACTCTAAATAGAACAATGAGTACACTTTACACATACAGAAAGGGAAGGTTGCAATCAATATGAGTTAGATCTTAGATGCTCCTGGTTGAATTAGATCGATTGATATATCTTAAGTGTAATAATGTGCCTTGTGATGCTGTTGAGATCTAGCCAGTTTGCACCCCCTTGGTTTCATTACTGGAAGACTTGATGGGCTCTTCCTGTCCTTTTTGCTACATTACTCGCTCCTCCTCTCGCTTTGCTTCGAGTGTGGACCATACGCAGGCCTCTCTAAATACGGCATATACGGAACTTGAGGGCCAAAGTGCCGTATTTCGTTTTCAGAAAGTTCCTTATTTCCAACCAAAAGTATTTGTTGTCTAGGTGTAGAACCTACCAGAGTCAGAGTCACGTAACTAAAATTTGGGGTGGTAATTTTTGACAAATCTTTGTTGATGTAGGTAGTTTTACTAGAGAAACTTAAGCAAATATTCAGCTAGATCTTTGCCGTGATCGTTTCTGGCAATTTCTTTGTTCATTACCGTTACTTTACTAGAGAAACTAACTGAGTACTTGACTAAAACTTTGCGGTGACACCTGATGAGCTCAACCAAGTTCTCATATTTTGTTTCCTTGGTTATCTCATTCACTTGTAATTTTGAAAACACAAAAATTTATTCAATTATTCTAAAATATCAAATAAGTCTCAAAATTTCTCGAAAACAAAAATACAAAGATAAAATAGTGAACCCAGAACATCACGAAGTCGATGTTCTAGCTATTGACTGAAAATTTTGATTCCAGGTTTTAAAAATAGATTCCTTCAACATGGAGTTTTTCGTAGTATTAGTTTCACCATATCCAAACACTTCAACGGTGTGAAGAGTGATTTCTCCTTGCTAAAATGGGAAAAGTATATTTAGAGATGAAAGATAACACCCATTTCTCTCGAGGTTGTATTACATTGCCGAAAAATTCGGCCGAAAATTTGGAATTTTAGGTCAAAATTCGGCCGAAAACTGTAGAGTTCCTTATGTTCCGTATTTCGATTTGAAAATTATCCTTATTTTGTTGAGATACGGAACATACGGAATCCGCCCTATATAGAGAGGCCTGACCATACGCAACAATGCAGCCGAATGCACACAAACAATCACGAGAGTACAGTACAAAGCACGAGTTTGGGAGTACGAGTTCGCTCGGTGCAATTAGACAGACGGGTACCATGTCGGACCGTGTTTGGGAAGCTTTCCATGCTGTTATTGAGCCACCGTGCAATCAAGTCCAAGGACCTCGGGTCAAGGAAGGATGGTGGGATGACGATCTCATCATGCAACGGAACTGGCATCCTGTTTCATCGGCCGGATTCCGGTTTTTCGCCCCGGAAGACATTCCGTGGAGCGTTCCGTTGGATTTGCCGGAACTTGTTGCCGACCAGTGCGTGACCGGTACAACAGAGATGCCAGCATGTCGATTTGTTTTCTTTGCTGTGTTTATGGCTTATGATTTATCGAAAAGCGGACAACTGTAGTCACACAACGTGTCAAATTTTGAACAAGCATGTGACTATCTTTCTGGAGTTTCTTTCCGGAGCTAAAAGAAGCTCGTACTATCGAGCATCTTTGCTTCTTTGTGGTACTCAGCTTTAAATGGTTTGTTTCTTTGGTACGAGTGAATGGGAATTTCGTTTCTTTTTTCGTATGTTATTGTCTCTTCCGCCACATATGGACTAGATATTTGTAACGCTACATAGGAATGACGTTGCGTGATTTTTAATGGTACATTATAATTGAAGGTGGACCCGTTTTGAATATCCAGTTCTGTTGCATGTGTATGGGAATAAATTCGGGTAATCTTATAATTATTTTGAAAGTGATTAACTCTTTGTCTGTGTTGACCGTCCTCGCTATAAAATAAGAATAAGTTGCAGGCAGATTGTAGAAATGATAGTCTAGGTAAGATAGATAAATGTCGGGTTTGAAGTAAATTAAAATTTTCCGGATATCTCAAAGTCACAAAAGCTCCCGCCCTTAGAAAAAGCGAATTCTTATTTTTAATTGGTACCTCTCGTGGAGCTACCTAATGTTGTCGCAGTTCCATAAGGGTGACGGGAAATCCGTTTCTCCTCAGATTTTTCTATGTAAAACAAAGTTGACAACCAGCTAGAAACAGAAACAAGATTCAGGTAAGAGAGAGAGAGATAATAGCTTTAGATACTGGAAACTTGAAGTATGAATCATACCAATTTCTCTTTGATATACATCTTTATTAACCTGTGCATGAGTTTCCTCTGTCCTGTTGTGGTTCACGGAAGAATGGAATTTCTTATATCTCCATGGATGGTTTTCTTGATGACTTGTCAACGAGCAAATGTGGAGGAATTCATATTATATTAAGTCACAGAATGTTGTTGTCCTGAGCCTATACACAGAAAGCATGTGTGAGTCACATGACCGAGTGAAATCAGCCGCACATCGGAGTTCGGAAAGGCTGAACTCAACGCAATCTAAGTTGTACACATGACGAATCAGTGATCAATAAGTGTGACTATGCAAGAAATTCGGAACATGATCTTTGAAAAGTACAAGCACAACGTAGAATAACAAAAACCATAGGGAGTATCTATGAAGTCTTTCTCGGTGGAACTATTTTCCTATAGCTCTGGAGTAAATAAGACAAGACTTATTTTATTTTTATAGTTGAAATAACTTGTGTATATATAAATGAAACATGAAAATGATCATACATGGCATAGGTTTTTTGAATGGATTACACAATTTATAACATTAAACTCTTGGGTAAAAAAGATAGCATAGAAAAAACTAGACAATATGAATCTCTTTCTCAGTATCTCACAAACATAGTAGATTTATATTCGTTTTTTGATCTAATCCACCAAGAAAAAATAGAAAGAAAGTTCTTTACTACTACATATTTTTGCACGTATGTATTGTCAAAGGGCTTTGGAATTTTCTCATGAATCGTAATAAAACTCCATCTCTTTATTTTTCATAACAAGTGGGTTTTAGAAAGGGGCTAACTACAACTATTGAATTATGTAATCAATTAATCATCCAGTGCTAATTAACGAATGAATGACCATCAGATAGAAGATGTTTTAGGATAGAAGAAAATGAGGAACAAACCTACCAACGGACGAAGAGGACAATGCCAGAACGGAGCGGTAAGTAAGATCAGTCTCATGATTGCGGGGTCCCTTCGTTCACATGGCAGTACTCGGCAAGTCGGTATCTGAGGACAGATTCGCGGATTTTATGCCGTCGAGTCCATCACGACGGGACGTAACGTGTGGCAAGTTGCCAACCGCGACAAGCTTGGCACCGAGACTAAAACAGAAACGGAACGTGGTAGCCATGGTCCCGCGCGCTGCTCTTAGCGAAACCTTAGCGAAACCTAAACTCGCGTTCAAACTGCGGTGCCTGTCTGGCCTGCCTGACGGTCTGGCTGGCCCGCTGGCTGTCTGGCTAGCACTGTGACGGACGATGGCGACGGAGATGGGGAATGCGGAGACAGATGGCGCCGAAGAAGGAGAAGGAGGAGGAGGAGAGCGAGAAGAGGCGAAGGCCCGCGTCGGCAACGCTGCTGCAGCTGTTGCTGCGGAGCGGAGCTCGTCGACGGGACGGACGAGGATCGAGCTCGACCTCGGAACTCTCGTCTTGATTGAGCTCGATCGTTCGGGTCGCCATTTCGGCCATCTTTGCCTTCACTTATTCCGCGGCCGCGAACGGAGTGCTCTCATTCGCTGCCTGCTGGAGGAGGAGGAGGAGGAGGAGGAGCACGGGAAGCGAAGCGCAGACACGGCTGGGGTGGAAGAAGAGGATTTCTGGCTGGTTCGCTGGCAGGCATCACTTGATTTATTGGCGCGGAAATTGATCGGACAAGGAGCAAGAGCGATTCCATCCTCTTCAGTTTCTTGGTATCTCTCTCTCAGACTCATCCTCGTCCCCTGTATCTATCACTTCCTCACTTTCCTTTCTTCCTTCCTTCGTTCTTCCTCCCTCGCCCGCTCGCCCACCCGCCTGCTTGCTGGCGCGCCCGTCCCTCGGTTTTTTTTTTGGTCCCCCGTGCGCGACGCCAGGGAGATTCTCGTGGTTCCAAAGAGGGAATTGATGTGTGCGTTCGTCGAGAAGGAAGAATGGAGGTGAGCAAGGATGGATTTCTGGAGAACGCGATGGCCACGTGACTTCGTCTAATTTGTACCCGGAGATTGGATCCGCGGGGCTCTGCTTCGTCGACAGGGGACTGATGCAGAGATCGCGGGTGATGAGATTGGTTTGGTGACAGGGGAGATTGGACTGGACCGCGAATGAACGGTCCGCCGGGATAAACTTTGCTAGGCGCGCTCCCCGTGGTGTTCGGGGCATGGATGTGGACATAGCACTTGCAAAGGACGGAAGCCTGTAAATGAATCGACCTGACCTCAAAAGTCCCATGCAGCGATCAGAAGTTTTACAGAGTATTCTGACAGCGGAGGGAGTGTTCTGGACGTAGTAGTGGCGATTCAAGTCTCTCGCGCGGGTTCATCTTAGCTCTATCGTCGAAGTCCGATATTGGTAACAGTTTTACAATGAATCCCCAGAGGTTTTGACCCATTCATACGGCCTAAAGTCCCGAGGTCCCGAGAATCAGGAGATTGATGCATGTCAGACTGATTCTAGAAGTTACTTTGCTGATGCCCGCCTCCTGTCGCCGAGAAGATCGAATTCCTGGATGTCCAACCCTGGAAGAGTTGCACACGGTGCCCAGTCGCAGTCCACGGTCGCGATCACTGACATTTGTGCGGCTTGCACGCGCTTGTGACATCACCACCACAAGCGGGTACGACAAGAAGTCTGTGGAATCCTCACGAATTCTTTATTTCATGGCTCACGAATTAACATTTCAGGAGAAGGAAAGAGACATCGCGGGTGTGAAATCCCCCCTCATATTCTTTGACGGATCATTTTTGGAATGGACCGGCAGTTTGGTTGACTTCCTTGCAATGAACATTTGTGCATGTGCGAGTTGCTGACTGTGAAACTCACTGTCATTCTCACAGGATGTTGCAATTTGGACACTTCTTTTAAAGATGAGATCCACAAAGATCTCCTGAGCTGAAGTGCAGTGGAACCCGGAGGTCGAACCGAATTGAACTGCCAAAAGTTTTGGTTGGGAGAAGGATTATCCCAAGTCAGGTTCGGAAATTGCTGGAGCCATGGGTGAGCACACCAAAATCTTGCTCAAATTGGATCAACTTGTTCCAGCCACCGAGAAAAATGAGTGGGAAACCAAGTCTACATCCCTCTTAAGCTCAAATGGCTTGTCGGGCAAGATTGATAAAGCCTCAGCCCCAACGGATGTTTGGTCGAGGCAGCAAACTATCGAAATTCACATCACTGCTCCAGATGTTGCGGGCATGGTAAATACCAGGTTAAGGGGAACGGCAGTTTGGCTCCATTTAATCGCCGCATTGATCGTGGGATTCAATAAAGATGCCTTCAGAAGTGATTCGCGCTTCAACCAGCAGCCTTATTTCAGGTCTGTGTTAGTCTCTGAACCCCAAGGTTTCAGGAGAGCCTCGTCTTTGTCCATATTTTGCTCAACGCCTGCCTTGCACGAACTTTGTAGAGTGTTTAGGCAAGGACGATGGTCTTCAGTGTGTGACTGAAGACTGCACATGATGTTCTCGACACTGACGATATCTACAACTTCCTCTTTTCTCATGTGCAGTAAATTGTTGACACTCAATATAGTCCTCTGCTTGTATGCACTTCGAGTTTGGAAGCTAGGCGTTCGAATGGAAAAGAAAAAGAGACCTCACATCAGCGTAGTGCCACTGGGGTTTCTTTATGTATTTGATCAGGTAATGTCTCCATTATCATTTTGGATCTTGGATTTGCATTGCAATTGTGTGTCTCTCCTTGAGCCGTGGAAACTTTCCCTGTTTACAAATTGGTAATCAGCTTACATTAAAGGGTAATAACAGGAAAATATGTGTGACTTTCAAGAATTGGATGAGGTATATCATTTGTGAGTCTGAAATTTCTCACAATTTTTGAATTGAAAGTATCTGCATGGCATTTCTGTTTCGATAGAAACGTATGAGGGTGAAAGTCATAGAAGTATGAGTTTCTTTCTGCATGTAATCAGTACTTGTTCTTAAGTTCACGCTTTGCATCTTGAGCATATTGATCTCATCTTGCTGAATGTCCGAGGTTGAGTCTTGTATTTCACATCAAGATTTCAAGATTGACTGTGCTTTGGCAACTGATGGAGTATGTCTTGCCACACCTTGCTCATGACGAAGTGGTCTGGCCATTCTTGAAAGAGGATTGCTTGAGAAGGTTGGTACACGTCTTCCAATGGATGATAGGATGAACATAACAATCATATGGACGGGCTTTCACTACTGAAATCGAAACTCTATATCAAGAGCTTGACTATGCAATGAATATGCCATCCATTCTTCTAACATGTAATATCCCTTTGTCAATTCTCAAGGATTACTTCATAAAACTGATCGTAGATAATACGTTCTCCTCACAACAAGAAAATCCTGTTTACTGGTTATATTAGTAGAGCCAGTTTAACACTTGTGTCTGTTTCTATTTGTTTTCAATATAAGTCTCCAAGTTTTCACGTGTTGAAATATACTAAACTATTTCGAGTTGAAGTTACTGTCTTCATCGATTTTTTCAGCAGAAGTAGGCATATTCGATGCTTACGAGGTTGTTTCTACCGTACAGCGTCCACCCACGTATCGATGTTCGCCAAGTCTAACTTGCCGGACGGTCATTGAAACAGTCAACAATGTCTTTAATGTCAGTGTCTTCATTGTCGTACGTAGACTTGCATGTTGAAAGTACTATTTTTGTTTCCGTTTTCTCTTCCTTTTCAAGTCTTGTCAGCTTTCAGGCCTTTTTTTTTTGTCTTGTACAGTCCTCTGTACTTCCAAAGGCTTTGCGTTTGACCGGACTAGTTTGAGTGAATAACAGTAGCTATCAGTGTATATTAAGGAAGGTAAGGACAGGCTATCCTCGATACATACTCAATACGTAAAGGGAAGATCTCCATCTATCCAGATTTTAATGCTGAGGTGAACTGCCTGTCTGTCCTGGTGGAAAATGAAAAGCGTTGTTTGCTCTTCCATTCATGTGAAATGAATGTGCTGATTTAGTGTCTTATGAGTGCAGGTATTCTCGTACTTGTTGATCATAGTCTGTTCCTGCGTTTGGACCGGTGTGAAGGACCAAAATTGCCTGAACAATTTCAGTCAGGGCTACTGCCAAAGGGCTCAAGCAGGATTGGCGACGAGCTTCGTTGGGTGGTTGTTTTTGATCGCCCCCAGTGTCGTCACCAGCCTCCGTCTTGCTGGAAAATTACGAGACGCTTTGATTGTAGCCAAGGCCACTGCAAGATGGCATAGAAAGCTGTGGCAATAATCTGTCTGTCTTGCTTCATCCACTCCCTCCGTTGTTCTTTGTGCAGAATTTGACGATAACGCCCATTTTTTCTGTCCGACAAGTATAGCGATCTAGAGCCTGCAGCTTTAGGTGAGAAATGCAGTGAATCTATAATCTCGGGCAATGCATTTGACAACCCACTGTTGGGTTGAAAGAAAGTCGAGAACCCCGCTCAGCATGAGGGCAGCTAAAACAGGTCCGAAAGGAAATACTAAGCATGAGGACTTGGGAGATAGTGAATCTACGAGTCAGCATGTTGCAGTGTATGCACAGTCTAGTGGCTGTTTTGCTGCAAGTTCCACGGTTGAGTTTTAAGAATAGTTGTAGATTAGACATGTGAATGCCGCTGCGACCAGATAATGCAGCGAAAGCTCGTAGAGTTTCACCCTGCTTGGGTTTATATGTCTCAAAGCCACACTGTCAATGACATCTTGAGTGGTTTGGACACCCGATGTCATTTCTTGACTCTTGTTTGTAGGTCTACGGAATCTAATAGAGGTCCTTATCGAGAGTTGCAGCTTCCAAGCTGCATGATTGTTGAGTTTCCAACTGATGTCCAGCATATTGTCATGGAGACTCATTCCACGTTGATTGCACCCGGTCTTAAGATTTCACATGCGAACGAGAGTCCTGGCTAGGACTGAGACGAGAATCCCACTGTTATGATCGTGCTGTACAATCCTTGTATTTAAAACTCCTTCTTTGCAGAACGAAGATAAATGTTGAGAGCTTCGAAAACTACTCATAGGAGACTTCCTATGAAAACTTTTCATAGGGAGCCTCCTATGAGCGGTTTTCGAATCTCTCAACATTTATCTTGAAGTCATAAGCTCGAACATTGAATGCAGAACAATCCTGATCTTACTGTTCCTCTGACTTCAAACAAACAAGTGTTCATTGATTTCCAAGACTTGTGACATCGATCCTGAACATGAGAAAACCTGACAGTCGAAAAACCCACGATGGTCAAAAAATTCTTTGTACACGGAAGTTATGGGTTCATTGAAACTCCAGAATAAACTTCCCAGAATATCGGAAGAGTCCTTATCGTATACTATTTTCGTTATTTCCCAAGAGACAAAATCAGAAATTTTTCAGTCCAAAAGAGGTAGAAAGAAGTACACGTACAGCACAACAATATCTACATCTTTTCCCGCTATATGGATTGTGAAACTTCTGTTAGGAATTCAATCATTTCCCATCTTCTTACTGCTGAAGATCTGTCTGGAGTCGGCTGTCTTAATCAACCAATTTTGATGCCCCGGCTCTTTCTGTAACACCATTCTTATACGTCTCCAGCGATTTTCGAGGTTCTTACACTTACCTTTCATTGCATGCTCCCTATGACAATATATTTTACACAAGAATGTAACGCAGAAAAATAGTTAAAAGAAACTGATTGTTACATAAACAAAATGAACATAAAAAAATATAGTATAGAATAGGATGAGAGCAGTTTTGTAGAATCCATTTTTTGTGACATCAACCATAAAGATTTGTTTATGGTTCTAAACATATCTGAAATCTTTTCTCTTCCCATATTTCACACGCGCCTATGGGAACGTTAAGCTTTTGATAGAATGGTCCAGGCTTCGAACGCTAGAATAACATGCTTCGATGAGAACGTTTGCGAGTATTAGATGCATGTGAGACGCATTTGGCACCATGTCAATTTGGAGGACTGACTAGTGCTACATATGATGACCTTTGTGATGTCATTTCCTCTGTAGCTGGAGAGAGAGTGTGCCTATGATGAATGCATAGAACTTTGTACATGTTGAAATTATCATGTATACAGATAATTGATTTACATTAGCTCATGCTGTGATTACTAATTTGATTCTATTCAACTACTGCCAGTCCTCATAAAATTAGTCAAAAGACTATTTTAACTAAATTTCTGGAATTTAGTCATTTTTCAAAATGAAATTAGTCCAAATAATCATTTTCCCTAAAAGTGCCATATTTTTTTATTGAAATCAACAAAACACGCAAAATATGTTCAGTTTGGAGGGGTATTCACTTTTGATACAACATCTGACGGCATTCGACAATGCCTTCCAATGAAAAATCTGTAAAAGAACAACAAAAATTGCCCTTCTTCCATTTAAGAACGGAGAAATTGAACTCAACAGAGGCGGTATTTGGAAATATTGAAACAAGGCCGCTCGCGAATGAACAAAGGTCAGTATCTTCAGAAGCGATGCCTTCAATGTCCCACGCCTCGTCGAAATTTGTTGTTACAGGGTCACAGGAACGAGATAACAGAGACTTGAACCGAAGTTGTTTCTCACACCGTAATTTCAGCGCGCGCTGTTGAGAGCAAATCTACTCAATTCTTTTGTCGTTCCAGGTGATAGAAATCCGAGCGTGCTGTTGTTCAACGAGTTCAATCAATTCTCCAGGTCGCATTTCTACAAAGTTCAGAGTAAACGCGGGTAGAGTCTTGTTCACAGAGCCACAATTGTATTCATCTCGCTCAGCTCGGACATCCTGCAGACCAACAATCAGAGTGCTGAACATTTCTGCAACATTTTCAAGAATCTTATCAATTTTTTGTGGCCGTAATCCCCTCATGAAGTGAAAGACGAACAGGTCTTGGTTGGTCACAAATCCGTTGAGTTTATGTTTCAAATAGCTAAAGCCATTGCATTGAATTACGTCTTCAACATGACTAGCCTAAGTATCCACCTCTACCACCTCCTCAACAAACGCCAGCTTGCGGATTCGCTTGATACATTCTTCGATTTCAAACGACTGCTGACCTAAAACGACCTGTTTCTCCTACAGGCGTTGAGTTGTCTCATTGACGTCTGTCGCAATAACATTGACTACAGCCAGATATATCCAAAAGGAAGGCGACGGTTTGCTTTTACGTCGTTCTTAGCTAAGCTTTTGATAATGCTCCAGAATTTCAGTTCGATGTTCAAGAAGATAAGATAAAACATGAGACATCAAAATCCAACGAGTTCCAAAGAGCGTCGGGCAAGTCAATTTCAGTCGGTAAATCAATGTCTTTTGTCGACGTAGATGTGAAATCATACCGGTTAATGTCGGATAAAACTGTCCGTTGTCAACTTTACGGGAAAGCTTTTGCATCACAAGGTCAATCTGATGCAGAGCACACCAAATTCGGACAAATTCAGATAGCCCGATGTTCGCAATACGAGTAACTAGCCCAGAAATATGGCCTATCATGTTTGAGCACCATCCGTTGAACATGCAATGAGCTTAGACTTTAAGTTAGTGCACAAAGCATTGAAAACCGTTTCAATCACGTTGAACATTGCAAAACCAATATGGCTTCCAGAAAACGGAATTGCAATAAGATGATAATTCAGAAGTTTGTCTCTAGAGCAAAGTCGAACGCGAACGTCAATGTAAGAGATACTTTAACAGTCCGATCAATCAACTGCAATTGCAAAGGCCCAGGCTTCACATAGCAACTGCGAAATATTTTGGAAAGCAACGGCACAAACCACGCAAACATACTTCGCCACGATCAAGTCATTGCAATTGCCGAGCTAGACACAACTGGTCACCATTTTTGCATCTTGAATTGTAAATGTTGCATGACAAAACAAAAGCACCCTTTTCACAATAAGTGTGGCAAGATGGTATTGTTTCACCTGCTTCATTGCGACCTCGTACTTGCCGGAGACTTCATTAAGACTAAAAAAAGAAAGGGCATTCGATCTGGAATGATTGCTATCAACATCGTCTGAATTTTAGAGGATTTCTCCGATAATAATGTCAAAAATAACTTTGTCGAAGATGAAGGTCAACTGTTTTTGATTGGCTATCCAAATAAAAAGAAATCGTTTCTGCTGCCTTGATAATGACATCGAAGAATTTTTTTTTCTCAACATCTGAAAGGGACTGGTACTGAGCCCATTTCTAGGCATGCTGAAACTCGAGATGACTCCAGTAATTTTGTGGATGAAACGGTGACTTTAAAATCCAACAAGACTGTGATACTTTCTTCTCGTGACCAAATGCAACACAGAAACAACAACGAACTCCTAAAACAACGCCTCTTGGATCATGATCACAAAAGTTTTACGCCATACATTAGCTCATGCTTTGGTTGGAACGGCGTCGTAACGGAACTAGAACTCTTCTGCTTTTTGGAAGTAGGCTCAGCTGTCATGGAAGCAGATGCTGGGAGCGACAGAGAATGAATAGACACCGAATTCCATACGGAGACTGCATGAGCGGACTCCACGCAGTCCGTAGCTCGCAAAAATCGTCAAAAGCTAAAAAAATTAGTTTTTTTTTCAAAGTCAAATTAGTCAAATTAGTCATCTATTTATAGATTGACTATTTTTATGAGGTCTGACTATTGCCACAGATTTCATTAAAAGTCACACGAGGAAAGATTCATATATGCAAAGTATTGAAGATTTTGTGAGGAAGTTATATATGATTACAATTATCTTGGAGATGAGTATAGAATGTTTATTGTTTGGACTATGTTTCACCTTGATTGATAAATATACTGATATGTATTTACACATTTTTAATTCCATCCAAATTTTAGAAAAACTAGTTGGTATAATTTTGCAAATATTTCTAGAATAATCTTCTTGAGCTAACTATTGGCTTTCTTTTCTAAAAGAAAAAAGAAAGCCGATGTCTCACGATCTCACTATTTGAAATTCTTCTTATTTTACTTTGATCTATTATCTTAAATTTAAAACTCAAAATAACTTTGACCTTATCAACTTCTAATAAATGTCTAGCTACTATCAACATGTCATTCATATGAATATTTAATTTTTTATTTTTAGAAATCTATATTGATTGATCACTTTTCATGATTTTTTTGAATCTTTGTGATTTGTGAAATTGAAATCATCTAGTTGTTTGTTGATTATGTAGAGGCTAATTTTGAATATTGGCGATTTACATTTTATATCTTTTAGTAATTTTTTCTCAAAATCGGTTTTTATATGTTTTTTTATATAAACATAATATCATTTACTTGAACACAATGAAAGGTTAAACATAATATTCATATGATTCAAAATGATCTCAAACACTGTCATTAATACACACAATAAATAAAACTAAGATATTTTAACAAGTAATAAATCTAATTGTAATCCACATATTTGAAAAACTTGAATTATTTTGCCATAATTTGATTTTAAAGGTTAATTTTAATATCATCAATAAGATTTCTTTGAGATTGTATATCCATTATAATCCAATAACTTTTTGTCCCTTGACAGTTTTAATAAATCTCAAGTGTTGTTGTCAATAGGTGGTTGTAAATTTTAAAAATTTTTGCAGTTCATTTCAATTTATTCAAGAAAACTTTGATACTCTGCCATGAATAAACTTCATACGTTTCTAAAATCTTAACCATATCATCATAATTAGGGATAATTTCAAAATGTACTAGTTGAATCATAGTTTGATCATTTCATTTGGCTATCATTTAAGATCATTAATGAAGCATTTAAACCTTCTTGTTGATTTCTATCTATAATCAAAGTTTTGTTAGTTTCCACATACTCTGAACTTTTTCAACTCAAAAAAATT